CAGACGACATAACAGACCCAACACCCTACTTTCCCGATTCCGATATCAGCAGCTTGCGTACCTTCATCCGTGAACTAGTCACACAATCCATAATACCCAACATGGAGCGCAGCGTCTCAACCTGGAACGAGCAGATCCTGTCCCGACGCCGCGGTCTGTCTGGCCGCTTCATGTCTCTATCAAAACGTTGGACACCCTTTGGCGGCTCAAGAACCTCCTCATCATCTTCGACTGCATCAGGAAACTCCAACTACGACAGCCTACAAGGATTCTACCGCCCAGACGCCCCCGAAGCCATCATGCGACGGCTAGCAGATTACTGCTTCATGCTGCGTGATTGGAAACTGGCATTGAGCACTTATGACATCCTAAGGACAGACTTTCAAAACGACAAAGCATGGCGGCATTACGCTGGTGCTGCTGAAATGGCCGCTTTGTCGGCTCTTATGGCACCCACACCATTGTCCTCCAAATCTCGCGCTGAAAACATCGATGCGTGGATAGAAGCTGCATCGTACTCGTACACCGACCGCCAACGCAGCGCAGCGCCGTACTATGCTCTCCGCACCCTCGCCCTCAGCTTCGAGCTTCTGCGCCTCCGTGGCTCCTCGGCCGCAGACGACGCCGCACGCTGGGCAACCCGCATTCTGGAAACAGGTCTTGTAGGCTCGATAGGTCATGCACTCATCACCGAACGCATCTCGGCTTGCTATGCTGTGCGCACTGGCGTGGGCATGTATAAACTAGGAAGCCGACGTCGGAAAGCAGCGCTTTGGGCCGTGCTTGCTAGCGAGAACTGGTACAGACTGGACAAGTCGCAGCAAGCGGAACGCGCCCTCGACACAGCGCTCAGGCTATACAACACCCAAGCTGAGAACGCCGATGGAGGAGCCGTTAGACTACCATTCGAGGATATGCAGCGATTTGTGGATGAGTTGAGACAGCAGATCATGGGCTTGAGGCTGGCAAATCAGGGCTATGGTAGCGAGCATGGAGAGGGCGATGAGGACGGTAGGCAGAGTCCGGAGGTGGAAGAGGAAGCTGAGACGTTGGATAAGAGCCCGCGGTTGCATAGGAAGAGCTTAATTGGGGTTCAGGTGCCACCTGTTGATATGGCGGGGCCTCTGAGTCCAGCGCTTGAGAGACCGAAGGGCGAGGTGGATGCCAAGGGCGAGGGCTTTGAATAGACGGTAGATATGCATAATGCTCATGACGATCAAGACGTACTTATCAACAACCTCACACATGCTGAACATCACACACACAAATCAAGCAGCAACAAGTCAACAGCAGTAATGGTTTCTCATTTCTAGGTTCAGTCATATCCCAAGAGATGAGCCATCATCATCCATGTGGAAACGCAAGCGTAACCCCCAAACGCCAAAGCCAGTGAACAGAGCGCGGCCCAAGCACTTTGGCACCCGTCAGTCATGCTGGCATATGCAACGATGTGTAACAGACAGCCCCTGCCAATGCTCGTATGCTATGCAAAGAAGGAAAAGGAAAATAACCCGGGAATAATAAGCGCCCAATGTTATGCTGGGGTATCATCGTCAGCGTCATCAATATGAACCGTGAATCGGTGTCCGTCGTCGTAAGGCCATGATGCTACCAAGCCTACTAGGCGGTAGCAGCGGGTGTGGTCTCTGCCACGGCAACACTCTTGGGTGCTGCAGGAGCCGGCTTCTTGGGCTCTGATGGGGTTTGTGTGGAAGGTGGTGCGGGCGTAGGCGCGCGAGAAGTCGTGCAGGATGGAGTAGGGGAGGAAGTATCTGAGGTGCGAAGACCGCGGAGCTTGATGGTGAGCTTGACCTTCACGGGCTCTGGTTGAGGAATTTCAATGTTGGACCGCTGCGACGCTGCGAATCCGTTTGATTCATCTGACGAGCTCTCAGTGCCCTCTGGTGTAGAGTCGGAGTCGAAGAGCGGCAGAGGCGAGCGGCGCTTGCGTGAGCGGCGACGCTGGTCATCGTCGTCACCGTCGACACTAGGGCTAGGCCGCTTCTTGGAGATGACCTGGGGTACGATGTTGACGTCAGGGGGGCCGCTGTGAGGTCCGGCGATATTGCGGACGGAAGAGTAATGCTCCCAAGTCTAATTTGGACGTCAGCACTGTGCCAGCGGGGTAGTCAGTGGTGGCATGACTTACGTGATAGGCAATGTGAAGTGTCTGGCGGCTATCCTGAGCAGCCAGGTCCTCGTTCGACGTGTAGCATGTGCGGGGCGAGAAGAGGTAGGTGTAGTCAGCCTGCCAGAGGCGGACGTTGACGTTGAGGGCGGAGGCAAATGCTGAGACTTCCATGTTGTCGGCCCACTCGCCGGGCTGGCCCATCTTCTCGACGTGCTCTTCAAACTGCTGTTGCAGCTGCTCGTCGGTGTAGCATGTGGTGTCAAGGCGGTTGGCGGCAGCTGCAGCAGTCTTGCGCTTGGGGTTCCGTCGCACCGTGTTGCAGGCCATGTACTGGCGGTAGAAGTCGGCGCTGTCCTTCATGTGCTCTATGGTGGTAGTGCGCAGCACCTCGTGCATATCTTGGTTGCCATAGAGCTGGTCAGACAGGGCGTTGAAGAGGCAGTTGCCTTGGGCGAAGTCAGCCTTGAACATGGGAATATGGGGTAATTAAGCTCACCATCGCCGCGGATCTGGCTGGCATACAGGGCATTGGCCTCGAGTATGGGAAATTCAGGCGAGTTGGCCCGCTGTCTTCGGGTAGCCATATTGGTGGTGGTGTATCAAGCGTGCGTGTTGGACAGGAGAAGTCGGTGTAATGCAAAGAGGAAGGCACAGGAGTGGGGTGACGGGGTCATGGATGAGGGTTGAGCTTAGGTGCGACAGTTGCTATTGTAGAGAGGGCTGGGCCGGCCACGCCAAGTTGGTGAAGGTCGTGGCCGGTGAACGTGAATGATGAATATCTTTGTGACGCGCCCGAACTCTTGAGGCTCTCGAAGGGACACGGCGACAGGGATGGCTCAGCTTGGCGGGTCGCAGGAACAACGATCTCCGCCCCGAGTCAGGACAGCTCGCGCTCAGGAGCCTGGAGAAGTACAATCAGACGTCAGCCAACCAGACACCGGGACAGCGCCTTCTTGTACTTTTCAAACGACAGAAACTAAAGCTCCAGATGGTACGGAAAAATCTTCGGCCTACATACCTCGGAGCCTGCAATGATGTCACGGACCACAGAGCTCCCCCAGCTAGCCGATGGGGCAGGCCCGACTGTTTTTCGCGATATATCGGCGGTGAAGGGCAAAAAGCGCGTGCAAGTGGGCGAGAACCGAGTTTGCTCAATAATCTGGACAATAGCACAAAAGTGAAGGGGGCCGGGGCCAGCGTTATAATAGCTTTACAATAGCAAGCAGGCCAGTTGGTCAGTAAACAAAGCTCGCATGTGCGCACGCGTTTTGTCTCGTGTGCGGGAAGGAGCCAATAGGCGAGCCGGGGATACAAGGCATGACCCCGCCATCCTCATCAGGCTCCGCATCCACGGCGATAGCAACCTTGGAAGTCCTGTTCAGTCACCCCACGGCATATCACGGGTGCGTCAAGGCAGCCATCGCTCTGACTCTGAGCTGCCACCATGGCCAACCAGAAGAGTGTCGTCGTTGTCGGGTAAGCTCGTCTATCAATGCTGTCATGATATTTTGTGTTGCCCCTCCACGTCCCGTGGTAATGTGTACTCATCCTCGCCTATGACTCTCCAACATGTCTAATCCGTCTTGGGCGGCAACCTCAAGACCGCACTAACACCACCCCAGAGCAGGCGTCATCGGCCTCTCCACAGCCCTCGTGCTCTCCAAGCACAAGGACCTCAGCGTTACCGTCGTAGCCAAGCACATGCCCGGCGACTACGACATAGAATATGCATCACCCTGGGCTGGAGCAAACTACTTCCCTGTTGGCAAGCCAGGCTCGAATTTGCAGAGGTTCGAGAAAGCTACTTGGAGTGAGCTTGACCGAATCTGTCGTGAACTGCCGGAAGCGGGCATACATTACCAGGCGACGAGGGTCTATGGACGAGAGAAAGATGCAGGCACCGCTACGGGACAGTGGTTTGAAGAGCTGACCAAAGAAGACGCATGGTTCAAGGACGTTGTGCCGAATGTATGTAGTGCCTACCCCAACTCGGTTTTCATACATTTATCTACGTTGCTTGCGTGAAGCCATGCTGATGCTTCTTAGTTCCGCGTACTGTCCAAATCAGAACTCCCAGAAGGCTGTGACAGGGGCACGGAGTTTACTTCAGTATGTATAAACACTGCTGTCTATCTTCCCTGGATCTTGGGACAGTGCGTGAAGGCCGGTGTGACCATCAAGCGTGGTATACTCTCCCACATCTCCGAAGCAGGCAGCTTCCATACCTCGGGGCATGCAAATACCGTCGTGAACTGTACTGGTCTTCTAGCAGCCACACTCGGAGGCGTCATGGACAGTAACGTGTACCCTGGACGTGGTCAAGTTGTCCTAGTGCGGAACGAGCCTGGTGTCATGGTGACAGTAAGCGGAACCGACGATGGCAGTGAAGAAGCTACGTATATTATGCAGCGCGCAGTCGGTGGTGGAACAATCCTCGGAGGCTGTCTACAACACCACTCTTGGGAATCGCAGCCTGACCCCAACCTCGCACAGCGCATCATGCAACGCTCCATCGACCTATGTCCGTCGCTCGTACCGAAGACCGGAAAAGTGACCGAGCTGAGTGTCATTAGACATGGTGTTGGTCTGCGCCCTATGAGGACTGGAGGTCCAAGGGTCGAGAGAGAGAAGATTGATGGAGTTGAAGTAGTGCATAGCTACGGGCATGCTGGCTATGGATACCAAAGCGGCTGGGGAAGTGCGTGGGAAGCAGAGAAGCAGGTGTTGGACGTCTTGAATGAAGACAGGATAAAAGCGAGACTGTAAACATGCCCACAGAGCCTTGATTTGGCCGGTCATGATGATGGATAGTAAGAAACAGCTACCGAAAGGACGGGCTCTAGTAGGACTGTCCCCGTCAAACCCCTACTTACCTGAACTTCCTTGGCTTCTTCGACCCAACGACGTTCAAGACTGTCTTCCTTCTCCGGAGATGACCTGGTCCCAGAGGCCGTGTATCTTCAATCTCGCCATCGTCTACCTTTTCCACGTCTTTTGGCTTTCGTTTCCAGGCACGCCGCCCGCGCGATGTCTTCTCTGATCCCCACACAGCATCGCCCATCGCGCGTACCTTAGCCCACATGTACGTTCCATGATATGCGATCATCAAAGAGAGTCCTCCAATCAGCGTTGTGGCAGGAATGGCAATGACCCAAAAGAGAGCTTGCGAGCTGCTCATGTCTCTTATATCCGTAGTGTTCATGCCGAATACAGAAGAGATGAAAGAAAGAGGGAGAAACACGATTGTCACTAGAGTAAATACTCTGATGGCTTTCGTGTTGCTTTCTTCTGAGACTTCAACGTTGTGGCGGAGCACCTCTTTGGTCCTATCGAACAATGCCTGTGTTTCTCTTACTCCTGTAGAAGTTGCTCCCATGTTGACAGGATTGTTGTGATTTTGGTTCATGAGGGGAATCACGATGTCTCTGTCGGCTCTGAAACATTCTTTGGTGGCTATGCGATAGGTGGAGGGACCGATGATGTCGTAGAAATCCCTGATCATGCTGCGTTGTTGAGCGCAGATAGAGGCTACCATCTCGAATTCCTCTTCCAAGAGGTACAACTCTCGGAGGGCAAGCTTAGATGGCCGACGGCTAGCTTCGTATTGCTATGTCTTGTTAGTGTGTAATTATCTGGCTGACCTAAACAGTGCACATACCATTTTCGAAAGATGCTCTCGGTACAAGTCAGGTACAGACGAGTCGTGCAATACCGCTCTTGACCAGAGATGGAAGAGGCATATGAGCAAAGTAACCTCAGGCGTACTGCGGAAGTTTTGTACAGCTCCCCGGTGGCTGCCAGTATGCGCCATGATCAGTAGCTCTTTACGCGCTGACGAAAGTGTAGTAGAAGCTGCTGAGCCAAAGTATGAAAGCAGATCCATGTGAGTCTTGACCTCCTTCCACGAGATGATGGGCATCGCGTCGGCCAGATTGAGTTTGTGCAACTCAACAACACTATACCCGCAAGTATCGATCATCTGCAAAATCATCTCTGCCGCTTTTACAAGCGATAGCGGTAGGAGATACTCGCTCGGCTTTTCGTTTCTCTCATTGGCGACACTGTTGCGGATATCAATTGCTTTGGATCGCAACGTCTCGAGGCGCAGTGCCATTGCACTGAGATACTCGACAATGAGCTCGTTTTGCTCCTCCACACCAGCTAGCTGAGATGACATAACCCAGTGAGATAGCTGTGTTCGAGAAAAATGTGATGATTGATTCGTATCGCTGACGTGAACGCGCCGCAGATGTTCGAAAGCTTCATCTGCGCTTGAGTAGTACCTTGCGCGCTTGCAGAAGTCACACTGATTTATAGGAGAAGATAGATCAGTAAGCTTGTGAAGCCTCAAGTATTCTTTGTGAGGAATCTCACGGATCGCGTAAGTTGACGATGGCTCTGACTCCTCCAGCTCTTGATATACAACATTCTTGACGCCCATATAGCCAACGATCTGCCAAGGTCGTGTAAGTAGTAAGCCACAACAGCCTTTCGGCGCATTAAAAAGGAATCATACCTCGATGATAAACCTCAGTACACCCCAGCATCTGCGCAAGAGCTGATGATCGTAGTATCTTGGTACAAATTGGTCTATGATTTCCATAGTAGAGTGAAAAACGCGTTGTGCGTGTTTGTGCATCAGAGCCATTTGCCATTGGGTTACTCTTCTCGCCGTGACATAGGTCTCCGCTTCTGAATCATTTCTGACATCAGCTGTAATGTCACTGTTAGTAATGCCGGTACCTGATTCGAGTGAATTGGAGAGGCCATTTGTGTCGTCCATTACAGTCAGCTCGTTGCGTTTAGTTGTATTTCCAACGACTCTGGCACAGGTCCTGTAACAGGTCGCTAGTGATGTCAAGACATCGTCGAGGGAAGACTCCTTATTGGTGAGTCGTACACCTAATTGATACGCGTGGACAAATGAATGCGTGAGATCGATTGGTAGTCTTGCTGCATCCGTCCGCGTCCTAGTCAGCTGCTGTTCGATAGCAAACAGAGTAAGCTGTATATGGGTACTCTCATCAATATCCTGCTCTGACGGGTTCTCTCGTGTTTGCCATGCAAGGAAAGGTGGCACACGAAGACCGGTATTCAATCTTGTAAGCTTGGGACTTGGGGAAACTTCTCGCGTCCGATACGTCGTGGCTGCGCGATTTCTGTCCAGATTTTTTTCGCGTGAAGCTCTATCGTTCTGTTCAAGTAAGCATGATTTCACTTCCGAATCTCCGTCAGCGAGTGCGTACATGTTCGGACGGAGAAGCATCCATCGGCGGATTCTGCTCTTGTCGCTCTTGTGTTTGAGCGCGCGGTCCCTCTTGACGCTCCCTTTCGAGATGCGCCTCTATACGACGGTCGCGTGTGTGATCAATCATCGGCAGCAACTCCTCTGTTGTCAGGTGTTGGAAGATGATCCAGAAGTTAGGATCAAGTATGTCATGCTGGAATCGCAGATTGAAGTGAAGCAAAGTCGCCCTATCGAGTTGACTAGTCGATACCCTGGTATAGTTAGGTAGAGATCGCTCTTCCCTTCCGGGTGCTGTGTCGGTTCCTTGTTTGATGATGGCTTCGATAAGGTTTGGAAGGAGGCCAGACTTGGCGAGCCGATTGCGGAGCTCAACTTCTAGTTGCTTCTGGACATCTCGGTTGACTTGATCAGTGTTATGCCTCAATGCAGCAGCAACTTCTTCACTTATTAGGCCTTTAAGGTCTTTGACTTGCAATCCCACGAGATCCCTTAGGTCCCCAGGATTATCCTCGACACCGAGATGTCTCTTTTCTTCCTGTATTATGTTCGTATGATCCTGTAGTCGTAGATCTGAGTCAACGAGCTCTTCCCCTTTTACGTCTCCTTTGAATGATCCTGGGGCATCTTGTGTGGCAACGTGCAAGTTGGGTTGACTTTGTGAAAAGCGAGCCTTGGCTTTTACTCCAGGTTCCATGCCCTCTTCACAATCGGATATAGCATTCCGTATCGCTCCTAACGTGGCATCTTCCTCTTCGGACTCAGGATGATCTCGCTCGTTGATTGAGCGAGATGATGATGAGAACGAACCCTGAGCATCTTTTTCTGTGTATCCTTTCGTATCGTAGACATCAGGCGCAAGTTCGAAAGAGCCGGAGAGCTTTTCTTCGTCTTCTATGTCGATGACGTTAGGTACATGAGACTCCCTTGAACTGTGCGGCGACTCGACTGTATCACCAACCAATGATGTACTACTGACTCTTTCCGCGAACGATAGAGCCTCACCAGCAAGCTCTTTGGTGTCAACAATGGATGCATACGAACTACTGCTGATATGAACAGCGTTTTCGCTCTCATACGTAATGGCCCTGGCAACATGAAGGCCATCTTGTGCAAAAGGTGGTCTTACCATACGTTCTGGACGGCGGAAGATGATCGGCTTCGGGCTAGTAATAGGGTTGCTGCCACTCACGAGCGAGTCGGGGTCATTCACGACATAACCTTGCCTTGCTAAAAGTTCACTGGTGGCGCCAACGTATTTCGATTGGCGACTCTGTTCGACATCGTTGCTGTATAAAGATCAGTGGGAGGCCAAGAGTGAATTCATTCGACTGATAACCGCTTACAAATGTCGCCTTAGGATAAGTGCTTTAGTCTTGTCTTCATCTGTTGAGTTATGTTCGGAGCTTAGATCACCATACTCGATCTTTCCTTGTTCACTACGTGAACGATCGATCAAGGACATATCCCTGCTCGTGCTTTTCCGATTGAGACGCAAAACGATCATTGCAGATCGTTCGGATTTCATGATGTGTGGCCATTGGTCTGCCTCCAGTACTGAGCCATCTGACCCCAGATGTATGACATAGTCTTCACTATCTTCTTCGCTGTCTTCGAGACACTTGCTCTCAATGTTACGACGTAGTGCGACGTATGTTGAGCACAGCTTGAGCGGTACGTACGTGACTTGTCCGTAAAAATCGGTGACCTGAACTAGACTGGGTCCGTCTGTACGAAGGTAGTCCCCAGAGATGAACTCAACACTGCCGTCGAAGAGTTCGTGGAGAGCACTCGGTCCGCAGGTGATAATAAGGTGTGACTGTATGATCATGGACCAGAATTGGGGAACCCGAAGAGTGTCTCCCCTTCTTACACCCTTGAATTTCTTGAACATTTGTTCGTCATCCCGACCCTGTGCAGCTTCTTGCGGATATGTATACTGGTACAATCCTCTGCCGCAGCATCCAGCAACACGTCAGTAAAGTAGTTTGCTTATACGAGCCGTTGCGAGCTGCAAACTTACCGAGTTTCGTGTAGTGATGTGTCTTTTGGTGCACGAGAGGGATGGAGCGCACCAATGTCAAAGTACGGAAAAGCAACAAAGATAGCAGATATGTCAGGTTTGTGGGCTTGTATAGGATCGGTTCCGTCACATCGCAGTACTGTGTTCGGCCGTATATAGCTGCCGTGTGAGGTTCGCTCTGTGCATTCACCCTTGATGTGTTTCAAAAAAGAAAGCACAACCGGTATGGCGTCTTCATCGTAGTCAAGCGCAAAATGGGTTGCGACTTTCTTTCATGATCGTTAGATTGCTGACAGTGGTCTAGGGGTAGAAGCGTACCTCAAACGCATCGAAATCTATGCAGTGAGTTTGGATATGCCTGCATGTCGTTAGCATGACGCAACCATTGGAAGAATTGACGTACAACCAGTGTTCAGATCTCGCATCATTCGTTCCACTGGTGTCCCGCTTTGACCTGGTAATGATCCGAAGCCGTTGAGCTTCTCCGTCAGCTGGGGTATAGACCATCGATGCTGCGACAGCGAACTTGTCCTGATCATATTTCGGGGCCCCTTGAAACTGTGTTGTGGCTCGTTTTGCAGCCAAAACACTTTGGTCTAATCTGTCGTTGTTCAGCGGGATTTTAATGATTCGTTCATCATCGGCGCTGTAGCTCGAACCATCCGCGTCTTGCGACATGGTATCGGCTTCTTGTGGATGACGATTAATTTTCGGTATCAGGATTGGAGTGGGAGGTGCAACACAACTCGGGACGATGGTAGAGGAGGGAATGCGCGTTGACACAAGCGCCCGTCCATCTGTGCCACCGAACACTAAGCGGCCCCCGGCCCCCACCTTCGCAGCAGGGTATAGCGCCCTGCAACGCCTCTACAGTACATAGGAATTGCAGGGTATAGCGCCAGAATTTGATAGGCCAATGGTTAAATGCCCATGGTCATTCGCGCCACTCGTCACAGCTGGAAGACAGGGGCGATTATCGTACTCCGCGTAAGGGGCAATCAAGGACAGAAGACGTTCCAGCTTGAGCAGAAGGCTCATATCGCTTGAGTAATGGACCCAAAAAAAAAAGATTCAAGATGAAAGGCATAGAAATTGCGTTAAAGATCAAGAGTCGGATGTTAATCCCAGGTAACATGTACTCAGCATGGCGATTGAGCCGCTGTTGTCGCGAAGCATGTCTTGATCTCATCTACGGCTGGCTTCAGACTCTTCGATGGTAATGTCCAGTCGTGACGCTTCAACCCTCCTTCGTGAGTCAAGTGCCAGAGAGTCTCCGCTGTTGTGATGCGTACCTAGACCTCATTAACGTAAGCCAGCGGTAATAGATTGTCTTATGCATACCTTCGGGAACGGATGTAACAGCATGCTCACAGCTTTGGCTAGCGTATCGCTCCTGGTCATTGGGATGACACCTAAGCCCCGATACACATCCAGCGCGAGGTGAAGCTTTTGCATATGCGTGGACTTGAAGTGTGCTTTTTGCGTATATGAAAGAAGTGATCGGAAACTGACACGATTAGCGCATGCGCATATTGAACACCAAGAGAGAGCCCTTACTTGAAAGACGTCGACTGAAGACGCTGCATGATCTGCATGTCGAACAAGAAGGCGATGACCTCTAGTAGCGGGAGCAAAACTCTATCGTTGGTGATGTTGTTCTTCAGGAGTGTCAAGACGCAGTTTGCAAAGTCAACCAAGGCAAACTGCGTAACGTCGGATGTATCTTCGTCTTGTAGCATATCGACAAAGTCTAGCAAAGCTGCTCGTGAGTTCTGAACCACGGATTCGGAGCCCATTCCCGCGGAGCTGACAAAACCAACACAGATAGCTTCCCTGATCGCGGGGGGTTTCGCTTTTTGTAACGAGATCAGTGCGTTCAGGAAGTAGGTCCGAGAGGAGACCTCGTCTCTGGTTGCGCCGCCGGCTTCTCTCAGCTGGAGGACTTGAGCGGCGTTCATGCGCATCTTATCAAGCTTTTCGAGAGATAGCCGAACGATGTCGGCGTAGATATCGTACTCGCGTTCATTGCGTTTCTCAGTGAGTATTCCATTTGCCCAAGCCAAGCGCACGGTGTTCAAGGCCTCGAGTCGGACGAGTGACCCGACATCTCCCCGTTCTGTAATGGTGTAGTCGTTAAGTGCAATGTGCAAGGCGCTCGCGATCTGGTCTTCTACATCGGCAGCAAGCTGAGTTGATTTAGGGTTCCCGCTCCCAAGCAAGCAACGCAGAGCACGTAATGCCACCGTTCGGGCCTCGATTGCCACAGCTGATGTGCATCTGAACGTAAGTACCTTTACGATCCGCCGCTGAAGGATATCCCTTTCAGTATCGGATGCCAGGCTGTCCAAGCTGCCATGCGCAGCTCCCAGGGCGATCGCATGCCCGGAACATCGCGACCCATTGTACGATGCTTCATTTTCCAAACGCAACAGCCATGACATCACGACGCCAAACGTATCGGACCCCGGTAACCTAGGTAATAGTGAGACTACTGCAGGGACTGCGACAGCAATAGCATCGAGGACTGATTCCTCATGACGCGCGAGACAAAGGTCCAATAAATTACAAACCTGTGCCACGGGTAGGTTTGAAGGCCAAAGCTTGCTGAGGGTACCATCGGTGAGTCTCGAGATTGCTCCGATAAATGTACAAACTGATGATGCGGTGAACTGGGGTCGCAATGCCGGCGAAGTGAATGCCTTGTCTTCAAGCTCTAGTTCTTTTGAGAACGAAGTCCAAAGGGCCATCAAGGGCGCATATGGATTGTCGGGCGCTCGTTGCACATGCATAATTACTGTCGTGTCAACGAGGGTCGCAAGCGCAGTCACCAACCCTTGACGCTCTTCCACCTCGCGAGGTCGCAATGCCGCAAGCTTGCCGCGGACCTGATCAGACATCTTCTGCACTACCGCAGGAGATCGAGCCTTAGAAAGAGACCCGATGGCCTCAGCTGCAAATAGACGTGAGTCTGAATCCAACGAGCCGGTTCCTCTCCAATCTAGAAGACCACCGAATAGGGCCTCCCAGTACAGAGACTGTAATTCTCCAGCCTTGATCGCCACGTCGCACATTGCGCGCTGGCGGAGCCCGACAGCGTGGAAGTCAACTATCTGTACGAGCGGTATGCCCTCTTCTATTGTATTGGGGTGGCGACCTATAAGTTCTTGAAGCGCAGCAGATGAGCCTCTTCTGATATTGCCTGCTGGATCGAGACAAGCAGCAACTACCAATTCGATTGCCAGCACTTGAGGGACGTGTAATGATCTGAGGTGCTCGGAAGCCCTTATTGTCGCGGTTTCGACCGCAAGGAGGTCAGTGGTGGGGTAGCGGCGAGAGAGCGCCCAAATACCGAAGCAAGCTGCATCGCGTACGTTCGTACCAATGGACCCTCCAGTAGGCGACCGTTGCTCAAAGCCGAGGGAAAGTAGGAGAGCGTTGAGAACGTCCGCCAAATGACTGGTAGAGATTGCTTTCCGATAGAGAAGCTGAGCCAGCGTCAAAGTCAAACCGTGCCATCGGAGTGGGTTCACGCTGTTCAAATTGCGCTTGGACCCCTGCCAGTAGATGTTCTCTGTGAGCGAGCCAAGTATTGCTTCGACAACCTCGCTGGCCATCTCCGCGTCCAATTTGAGAGTGATGATGCTGAGCGCCTTGCTAGCACCGTATCTGACTGGCGTGTCACCATCCGCGAGTGCTTCAAGGAGAAATTCGATGACTTCTTCCAATACCACGGTTGAATCGAGTCCAGGAAGCGTTGACGTCGCCTGTAGGCAATGCAAAACGACATTGCGCAAGCTTTTCACGACCAGCTTTCGGGCCACAGCTGATGACTTGACAAAGGCGAGACTCTCCTGATCCAGAATCTTCCTACAGGATAGGTATATGGCAGCAAGGAAAGGGCCAAGCTCTTCATTCGTAGCGGAGGCCAATAGCCCTGACAAGAATGAGAGAACCCCAAGACACTGATGTATGTCGGTCTTCTCTTCGGATATGTCTGTGAAGAAAGACAGCGACCATTGGACCATGGCATCCAGCAAACCTAGCTTTTGCATATCTGGTCGCACGCATGTCCTCACCAGGAGACTTGCAGCGGCGCTTCTTTCCTTTGTTGGAGACTGAAGTCCTGACATGCAAAGAGAAATTACCCGAAGAGTGACACCAGGAAGTTCATCCGGGAGCTTCAGCCCAAGAGCTACAGGTGTTTCTGCAGAAACTTGCAACCCAGACATGGACTCCAGGGGAAAGGGCGCGAGTAGCAACTGCGAGAGCCATAATAGCAGCACATAACGCTGTATCCATGGACGAGCTGTCTCCTGCTGTAAGGCATCGGAATTTCCAGATTTAACAACCCCAGTCGCTTCCAACTCCCTCAAGATTGCTTCGAGATGACGTGGTTCGTTGTTGAAGAAGCCTTTGACGACCTTTTCGCCTCGGACTTTACAGAGAGTATTCAAGACGGAGCATATGGCGTATGCAAGAGTCACAAATCCTGGTTTCGGTTGTTCTGTGGCGCTCGCCGATATTGCTTCTAGATAGGCGGCGACGAGTGGAGGTATGAAGGTTTTCAGGTGGGTGTCTAGAATCTGGGGGTCCTCCTGGAATGGCTCTATCTGTAGAAGGTCAGACAGCCATTGAGAACATTGATTGATAGGGTTCATACCAAGCTGCATGCCTTGTACATGTCTGCTGTTCGGACATGTTGGCGGACGGGACCAAGGGCAGAGCCATGCTGCCGTTTCCGCAGTAGTCGCGGTAGCAGCCTCTCGAAGTCAGACAGGAGCGATGCAGATGCTCGCTGTAATTTTAGGTCGTCGTCCTCTCCGGCGCTCATCATGGAGTAAGGTGGAGTTGTGACGCACTTTGCAGGCGACAATGGGTGCCTTGTTCGCCGAGTCAGTTCTGGCAGGCACGACGCGTGATTCTGAGTCAACCCCGCGACGCGCTTTCGCTACTTCTTCCACCATCACCACTGCGACGACTACGTCAGCCACGACAACACACAATGGCGGGAGAAGACTACAACGACTTTCTCGTTGCGCGGGTGATTACCGAGCAGAGGCCGGTCACCTACAGGCTGCTCAGTAGAGCATCCAGCACCAATGTCAACACAGCGAAACGGTTCGTGCAGCTCTTGCCAGCCTCTGAATGCCGGCTCACATGATACAGGATGCTCTTCGAGTTCCAAAAGAACCAAAACGCGCGGAAACCCAAGTCGGTCCACGCCACCTACCTCGTGACTGGCACACCCAAGCGAACCGTAAAACCCAATGGTCCCCCCCGTCAGAAGCGTGAGGACGCCGACATGCGCAGCTCGCCCTTTATGAGCTCCATGCCCGAACGAGAAGAGCCCGAAGACTCTGATTACACCAGCGACTCCGATGACGAAGATACACCCGCACCTGAAGGTGTGAAAGAGACAAAGATTGTATTGGTGGGAGAGGAAGACTTGGAAAGTACGATTGGCATATGCTATTGGCAGGACCCAGCTGACGGCTTCACTAGAGACTCGGTCAGAGTTTGAAGATGGATCCACGGCTCACATTTACAGTGTGGAGCCCGGTCCGCTCAAGGTACGAGATCATGGGAGGCTTCAGGACCAATACTAAGACATATAGGCTGTCCGCGTACTGTCTTTGTGCAACCACGAGGTCGTAACAGAGTATGCAGACGAAGATCCTCTAGAACGGTGGAGAACATATGGTTCCATTCAAAACGAACACATCAAGGTACGCATATGGCTACAGCTACACGGGCGCACTAACATCGTTGTAGCGAAGAACTGCAAAGTATGCTCCTCCTACTGCTACATCGAAGCCCGCTCCGAAGACCATCACGAAGCCTGCCGGAAAGGGCTCTTTCGCTTTCGCGACGAAGGAAAAAGAGACGTCCGCGTCTGCGAGAAGAGGAAGCGCGTCCGAAGATAATACATCCGGTCGCTCAACGCCACAACCCTCGGCGGGGTCTACTACACTGAAGAGGAGCGATTCGAAGTCTGGGGCAAAAAAAGACAAGGCGACAAGCGACCTGTTCAAGTCCTTTGCAAAGGCTAAACCGAAGGCGAAAGAAGCGGAAAAGTCACAAGAGTCCACACCAGCGCCGGTTGAGGATGGTACGTACACAAACAGTCTTTTCTGGTTATACAACTAACTTCGCTAGAACCAATGGAAGGCATGTCTGAGGATGAAGGTGATCCCGATGATGAGCCCGAGATCAAGATCGACGAGGAGAAGAATGAGGCAGCCCGCAAAGTCCGAGAGGAGCGAGCCGAACGATTGCGCAAGATGATGGAAGATGACGGTAAGTCTTTCGAGCTGGATATGATCGTAGTGTCTGACGTGTGTAGATGAGGAAATGCCGGACGCACCGGCCACAGCAGAATCTCAGCCTGAAGCTCCTTCAACAGCGGCGACGGATACCACAGAGCCAACCGAGGGCGAAGCTACCGTCACAGTGGAGAACGGTCGCAGACGCGGCCGGAGACGAGTGATGAAGAAGAAAAAGGTCAAGGACGAGGATGGCTATCTTGGTAAGTAGCCAGTGCACTCTGAAATCCCTCCCACTGACTGTGCATAGTGACCAAGGAAGAGGCCGTCTGGGAGTCCTTCTCGGAAGAAGAACCTGCACCAAAGAAGGCTAAGCCAGCGCCAGCTAAACCAACGAGCTCGGCAAAAGCGAAGAATGCTGGCAAGAAAGGCCAAGGAAGCATAGCCAGTTTCTTCAAGAAAGCCTGAGAGATCTACAGATGTGAACAAGACGAACAGCGTTACCACAGCTTCAGCCGAACAAAGCAATATTCAAGCATAGCGTACAAGTCATTCGAATCATAATCGTGTATTTGAAATGACCAATACGTCGCTCGTACCCGCCAAACGTTTCGTCCATCTTGCAAGAGCGTATTGTCCTACCACTTGAGCAGCAAACTCCTGCCGGTTTGGCGAAGCGACGTTGACCAGGTCGCCGACTTGTGCTGCCCCAGACGCCTACTGTACAATGTTGTACACAGATCTTGACTTGTTGAACAGTGTCTGGATATCGTGATGTTGTGTGACATGATTAGCATGTGATCGAGAGCAATCCTTTCTATAGACAAGCATGCTAAGCTTAAGTACAGATCCAGTTGGTGCCACCCTCAACACTGGAGCCTGAATATGTTTGTATTGCAAAGGTGAGAAATCGAGACTCCCCATCTTCTGGGTTCGCGTTGTCGCTGATGACTGGCGCGGTCTTACTCGGATACCCCGCAACCCCACGGAAGCCATGATTTGCTGGCGTACAGCTCTGTCGTACACAGTGTGCTTTCGGTGTCCGCAGATACCATCATTCTTAGTTACTTTTCTACAAAATACATGTCGAACAGCCGCACAGGTACTTGCACTAGACTAGACACAGGCTACTGACCTCATTGAATCTGCACGATTGCGCAGGTACCGATCTAGGTGATGACGACATCATTCTCCGACACATCAAATAGTCTGTAGCTTCAGAGCTCAATCGACTTCCATCATCACGACTAACACAGTATCATCTACTCATAATAGCCATCATAGCTTCACGCACAGCATCCCGCCGCCTTTCGCGCTTTCTACGCACCATGTCTACCACCGCACCCTCAGCATCGGCCCTCCCGCCTGCGCCATGGAAGTCCCTGTTCAGCGAGCACATCTCGAAGATGAAGTCGCCTGAATTTGTGTTGGGAACGCTCGATGCAGCTCCCAAGGGCTCGCCTACACCCTTCGTGCCCCGCGTGCGATACTGCATCCACCGCGGTTTCTGGGCCGAGCTACCAGAGAACAAGCACAACGATGCAGAGCGCAATCCTCAAGTCTACCAGAGCGATTGCCCAACGTTTTCAACGGATGTTCGCATGGAGAAGGTCGGACAAATATTCGCGACGAGTGCGGGGCACGCTGAGAGCAGCGAACAAGTGCAGGGCAGTGGTGGTGGAGGCCCTGTAGAGGCTGTGTACTGGAATGCCGATACTGGTACACAATGGCGGATCAAGGGAAGGGCATTCATCATTGCACCCGACATTGAGGGCGATGACGAGAGCAGTGGTGTAAGGACTGTCAAAAGCGAGCTGGGAAAGAGGATGAGGATCGTCGATGAGGGCAAGGAAGGCGACTTCAGCTGGCAAAGGGAGCTGACCGGTTTCTTTGGTAACCAGAGTCCTGGCATCAAAGGTAAAAATGGCCGCTGTCTACTGTACTTTGCAAATCGCTAACAAGTTATCTCAGGCTCATTCAAGAACCCTCCACCCGGCCAGCCAACCTCCAAACCATTTGACGACAAGAACCTTGCCCTTGGCTCAAAGGTCGACGATTTGCAAGACCCCGTGGCACGCAAGAATTTCCGCCTTGTGGTGATTGTGCCAGACTCGGTGGAGCAGACGGATCTCAGCGACCCAGCAAAGGCACGGAGATTTAGATACACGTTCGACGAGAGCGCAAAGGCCAACGCTGGATGGAGGACTGAAGAGCTCTGGCCGTAAAGGCGCTGGTGAACAGCACGCATGAATATGGGTTCGAAAGAGTTCTAGTATTTCGAATGTTCGAAACAATACCACGAGTTCCCAGGCATTATTCGATGCCTTGATCGGGCCGAGCGCATGTTGTGCTGTGTAACTCGTTTGTCACATAGACCGTGGACCCTTGCTGGATGCACATGGGTGGTTCCGATGCAGTCTTCCCCACAATGTGGCTCAGGTCGGCGACCACGACCATGGCCCTTGTTGATTTGAATAGTCGCCTACAGATGGCAAATTTGTTGAGCGCGGTTTAGATTTGCCTGGCGAGAGAAGCTGTTTTCAATTGCGTAGGGCAACACACACAGGCAAGATGTTTCACTACCTCCTATATGGAAGGTGAAACCTGGGCAAGAGGTTTGTTCATCGCAAGTCCCCGGGCTGATGACATCAAAAAGCAGACGTGCGAAACGAAACGCGTGTTGAGCAGGCCCCTTACCCGCACGACAAGGGTGCGCTATTTTAGTCGCCAGGTTGCCTGAAGGAGTAATCGATGCGGTGCGTAGTTGTCAACTGCCTGGGATCAACCTAGGCGGCCAATCTAAATAATGATGTGTGCGTTAACATTCAGGCGCACAGCTGTTTGTGTGGTAAGCTTCAACGGTTAGCAGTCCAACGGTATTGGGTACGCATTTCAACAGGTCAGGTGCGCGCACCCGCCTTCCTAGCCGGGCATCGTTCGCGAGCACAAGCAGGTCGGTCACTGGACTGTGCACAGCAAGTCATCATTTTACACAGGACCAAGATCATGGACGGTGTCTGCATCATGTGCGTGGACACTTTGGGATACCGGATGGGTACGGACGACGATACGGACATGTGGGATGCTCGTCGTTGCGACTACCGCATTTGGTAGGCAATTCGCAAAGTTGCGAAGAAGCCAAAGGGCACCCTGTTTTCGTTTCGGCTGAGGCGCTGCGGCACGGGTATAGGACGCGCCGCCATCGTGCTTACTGGTGGTATTAGCCGCCGGGCGGAACTCATATGCGCGCTATCGCCAAGGTCGATGGATGGGGGTGAGCTGGCACCGTTGGACGGGCGGCGGGTGTGCTCCGAGATGGATGTTTCGCGCTGTCATCGCAACTCGAGGAGATCATGTGCATGCGAGCCAGCTGGAGGCTAAGAAGCGGTGCCTCTGCCGGCTAGTGGATTGCGACAGGTGAAGTGTGTAGGTGCGTTATCGTGAAGCCATGCGAAACACGGTGACAGTGAGATCGATCTTGTACGGCGTCGGCCATGTGGCCGCGCAACGACGACACACGCGGGCGCGCAAGGAGTGAGGCAATTGAATCTTGTAATCTGGCGACTCGTCTGCAATAAGGCCGAGCGCCCTGTTCGATCACCGCCAAGGGTCGACGAACCGTTGCTGCGGTACCCCATACCTCTTGCAAGCGGAGTATCCTCCCTGCACCTTGCACCCGCGCGCGCCCATGCAAGGCCGTCTCGTTGCTTTCTGGCTGCCCCCTCTTTCTTCTTGATGCAATGCACCGTGGCCTTGTACCACCATCGTCCCACTCGCATGTCGGTAGACACGACTCCGTTTGGGTCTGTGAGTCTGGCCCCGTTGATCGCATCTCGTAGCAGACGCACTCCCTGCCCGTCAGCCGTCTCTCCCCATAAGTAATCGCTGATCGTCTGCCACTATTTCTCCGCCCAACGCTGCACACGTACCCCGACCACGCCCTTTCTGCTCCCCTAATCCACATCCACCGCCTCACTGCTCGCTGGTCGACACTCACGTCAACTTCGTCGCCGTTACCGTCGCCGTCATTGCTCTATGCAATAACCCGTCTGCATCCGTCCCTACCACCACCACTCGTGCCGCTTAACCCCGAATCCCCGATCAATCCTCGCCCACCATGTCCGACATTGAGAAGTCGTTCGTGTTCCTCCAGGACAACCTGCCGCAATGGCTGCAGGACATTGCCAGCATCCAAGAGAAGGTCACGGCCATGCAGGCCGATAACACGGAAGTGCCCGTATCGCAGTCACCGTTCGGGAAGCGGACCGACTCCACCGCGTCCATACGACCAGCACTGGACGCCATCGCAGAGGACGCAGCGCCTTCGAACACAACACCTCCAGACGCCGTCCCAAGTCGCAAACGAAAGTCGCTTTCCGTCTCGTCCGGCCACGAACCTGGCACTGCCCGCCATCGCCCTCGAACCATGGTGGTTGTCAACTACGATGGAGACATGCAGAAGTCGTTCGAACTGCTCGTGCGGGCAATAGGGACTGGACGCAACATGTTACGTAAGGCCAAGATGGAGGCCAGAATGAATGAGATGGCCACCCAGGCAGAGTCGAGCGCAGAGGAGGACGACATGGACGACGACGACGAAGAGATCGACCTATCCAAAATCAACTACCGAGCCCGCATGTCATCATTACGCGCAAGGTCGGCGGCGAGGAGAAGCGGCAGACTGGGCGTCACCAGTGGTGTAGAGACACCTGTCGTGCTGTTCGATACCTCGGACAAAACGTTAGAGCAAGCCCAAGAGCTGTGCGAGAAGTCGGCGCATCTCACATTACGTGACGGCGACTGCAGAACAGAGCTGGAAGGGGTGCGAAAGAACTTTGAGACTGTGTTGGAGACGGCAAAGATCGAGGTGGAGAAATGCAACGCACGCAAGGCACAACATCCACCTGAATTACAGGCGCACGAGACCTCCGACACATCCGTGTCTTCCCTAGAGCCCGAGATGAAATACCGGAAAGACACTTCGCAATCCGTACCACCACCACCCGAACTCGATACTCAACCCAAGACCACATTGGCAACACAGCCTGCGCCTACCCCACAACCACTGAAAATCGTCGACATTGAGGTTGATGACGAAGACGACGATGACGACTTCGTACTGCCGCCTGTACGGCTAACCTCGCGACTGAATCGTCGAGGCTGATCCTCCTGATCCCATCCATTTGTCATTTATTTTCATGCGTTCAAGCGATTCCATCTCAGCCATTGCTCTCATCACGGCGTTTCGAATGCATTGCGGGTGCATGCGTCTTGTTCATGCATCATGTTGGGGACGAAAATGGAGGGCGAGGGCTTATATCCACATGCATCACTAAACATCTCTTGGGTGTCGGCGTCTTACAGCGAGGCATCGTTGCTGCTATCTTACAGCGTGTTCAATCTATCTCCAAGTTATTCATGCATCATGTCGCAAAGACAGTTCACGTTCGTTGGGAGACTATTGCTTAGTTCATAGCGCATTTTCATCATTACTGTTGTCCAACTAACATGACCGATTGCTCCATGTCTTACCGGCTCCCAGCATAATCATTGTTCTATAATAAGTTCTTCGAAGTTGTGCTCAGTGAAACCCGGCATCTCCCCCGAGGCGATGTTTTCACTCGCTCCTTCCTCAGAACCACATGAGCGCAAAACAGGGAAGGGACACTGGAGCGCGTGTCCGACGCGTTCAGCGCACCTGCCTTGCGATGCATATTCACTCCCGATGCGTTATCATCCCTCAGTTTCTCCCCCGATCTCCACTCGCATGAGCTTCGCTAACCTCCTCTACGATCACTACCCTCAACTACCCAAATGGCTTCGTCGCAAGCGAGTACAGCTGAATTCAATTTCTTCTCATTCATAGAAGATGACCCTCAAGTGGCGGGTGAGACTACAAAAGAAGATCACGATGTGAGTGAATCATTCACTTCCCGCGTAGGCTACACTAACGCGACACAGTTGCTTGTCCAAGCAGATGCAAGCATCACCCGAGAAGAAACCGCTAATGGATCGCGTCACGCAAGTGAATCGCTCGACGATGCCAGGAAACCCCCAATTGCGTCCGAAGAAGCTTCCGAACGACGCGGCTCCAGTCATTCCAGCGAAACAATCAGCAGTGGCAGTACTGTCTTTCTCCACCCAGACGAGAGCGGTCAAGGTGTTCCCGATCCTGTGAAGACACCGGTAAGTCCGCTCCTCATTCTGTGGTATAGTTTGATTAATGTATACAGCAAATCACGCCATCTTCTGGAAACAAGGACAGCAGCACCAGTTCTCCGCCTAGTGCTGGCGTTGAGAATGTCGTCGAATCCAACAAGTCACCGATGACACCACCCGCTTCCGCCGTACCTACCTCGTCTTATAGCTTGCGCAGCCGAACACAGAGTAAGCTCGTATACGACGTGAAGTACCACCCCATGGACGATGCCGTTCGACCCTCTCAGGCTGCCAAACGTCGCTCGGCACACGGAGAAAAGCTAGTCCCCGAGTCTGGCGATTCAAGTGAGGCTTCTAGCATCCTCGATGCTGACGCTGATAAAACCGAGTCGGACGATGCACAAAGCGAGGGAGAAGATGAGGAGGAGATACCGAAGCGAAAGACGAAGAGCAAGGCGCGCAAGCAGTCCAAGTCGCGACCAGTACCTACCGAGGGTACGAGACGGTCTACGCGCAATGTCTCGGGTATCAAGGCATCCTATGATATGGGTAAACACCCTCAGGACAAGTATCTTGTCATCTCGAGCGATGATGACGACAGACCGATCTCGAGCAACAAACGTAAGAAGCTCTCTCGTAAGCGTGCAAATTCCGGACATAATGCATCATCCAATCCCAAAGGAGCGAAGAGGTTTAAAGCAGTCCACGGGAGGCGATCGCGCCCCGCCGACTACGATACATCCGATGCGTTGGACTTAGACTCCAGTGGTGCGCCCGTATTCGCTAGTGTGGAGGACGGTAACAACATTGAGTCCAGCGCTTGTAGGTGGTCAGCTTCCCCTCGACATTCAGACTTACTGACAGAATGCAGCTACTGTCGCCTTCACATCCCCGCGCTTGCTGCTTATAGCTGACACTACTGGCCATGGCATTCGTCGCCGGGAAGGGATGGATGTCTGGCACTATCCTCCAGGAAAGAGATACCTCAACCACGATCGAGACTATTGGTCTGTCCTTCCAGGCGATGCCTTCGAAATCTTTCAAGAGAAACTTGAAGACCAGCTAGCGCGCGAAGCAATGGAAGCGTCACCACTGAACTATGAGCATGATGATAAAGAAAACCCCAGCAACACAGGCCCCGAGCCACTCATCGATGAGAATGAAGGGATGTCCATCATACCAGTTGCGCAATATCGACAGTCAAGCGCCGAAAAACAGGTGGCGGACCGACACTCCCTCGTCTCCAACGCTCTTTACTCTGACGATCCTCCGCAATCGTATGGCCTAGACGGTACTGATAATATCTATGAATCTCCTCAGGATGACGTCTTTGACGGCATGAACATACTCGCGTCTGGACAATGTTTGCCTCCGGGTCAGACCCAACCCGAAGCGCAAACTGAGACGCAGGACTCAGTGATCGGTCCCAGCCTGATCAGCGATTCTCCAGGGTCTGATTTGTGAGTCGATTATCACGTACGTCAATCTGGTCAGTCAGAGTTTATCGGCTGTCTCTTCATTAGCCTTTACTGACTACCATCTATAGATCTTCGCTATGACTATACAGGCATATGTATGAGAAGCTAGATCGTTACTATTTTCACCAGTCTTCTGCAACCGCCTTATACATGGACATTCTCTTCTGTCGATTATCATTGCATGCCTACCTGTCATTGCAACTTATGGATGATCTTAGGATCGAGATATGTTCCTTTGTGTTCTAGTCCAATCTACCACAGTACAGGGGGCATGGGTTTACCAAGTACGATGATTTATGTCTAGCTTGTTGCAGGCAGATGGCGAAGTCCGAAGCGCCCCAATATATGGGCATGTCCATCTCAAATGTATACATTGTACGATACAATAACGCATGTAGAAGTGCAAAAAAGTCTTTCAGTCTTCCACAGCAGAAACTTTGCCCAGTATGGTTGATGGATACCTGTGCAGTCGCCGATAGAACCAAGGCCCAATATTGTAAACACTCTCGTCATACCTGCCATAGTCCTTCATAACGAAACAGATCGCCGGCCGAGACATCCGATACGTTTCTTCTCCTCTATTTCACAAAGGCTACACAACGAATACGCTTCCAAGCTAAACTTTGTAGCGACGACTAACGTAGACGCTTCATATCTCGCCTCGATATCCCGTACGAATCTGCTACATCTACAAACTTGCTTCATCTCGATGTGTCGTCATAGTAGAGCGGTAGCGCGTTGTGAATGCCGTGTCTCTTCGTGACGATCTTGGGGAGCAGTCTGTTATGTTGGAGTGGGAGTAACAAGATTGGGCTGTTTCAGCCATACGTTGATCACCCCTTGACAGAACGTCATTGGTAGATGGTTGCAATCTCCCCGAAAACAACGTAAAGTATTACTCCTGCTCTCGGCCTGTGCTCACAAGAAATATAGGCTGTGATGGATGCCTTGAGCAAGCCGTTGAGGCGCAGTCGTGTTAGATTTCAAGGACTGCATAGATAGCCTAAGTTGTGCTGTGTAGCATTGCGGCCTGACCATGGGTCGCCTTGCGGTCGCAAGCCCCGCGGCCTGGCTATGCTTGTAATGCTGATATGCTGATGATTAGAAGAAGATGGTTTACCTGAACTTACTTTCGCCCGCTGAACATCGACGATGTTCAATGTAAGTTCTTCAGTGGATGTAGACTACCAAACCTTAATCACCAATGACGTTTTCTACACTGAAGATCTTCTGCTCAGTCGGCTTCGATTCGCGATTTGACCCTCGATCCCGCTCGGCTATGGCCCGCCAGCACGTACCCTGTGCACATGCAAGTGTTCAAGCTCGATGCCGGTGCATCATTGCAGTAGTATGAACGCACTTCAGAGTCCCTGCATACACTGCCCTGTCCACGAGACTTGTAGAATCCATCTCAGAACTGCAATGCGCCGATATATAACCAAACTCTAGGCTTGTATACGAAAGCGAAGCGCAGAATCTATAATTGATCGTCCGGGCGAGCCCAGACGCCAGGTCACCAGGTTTAAGCGACAGCGCGCTATCGCCAGCGGAGCGGCCGCCTAGCGCTGTTCTGGATGCGATCAACGCTGCGATCCAAGCGTAAGGCTGGCTGAAGACGATCTTGGTGTTGGTGTTGGTGTTGTTGTTCGAGCGCAGAGGCGGAGCTGCGGAGGAGGGCGAAGCTAGATAGCGAGCATGATGCTGATTGCTGCAGGTTCGTGAAAGATCAACCTCGGGAGCACTCGAGCTACCACACCACGATGCGTGCAGGCATAGTGCTGACAGTGCAATCTTCTGTCCAACGCCGATAATGCGGCCTTTTGCCCCTCTGCGCGAACCTGCAGGTCGTAGCACGTGGAGATGGCTTGCGTCCCGTTCAGGTATAGGGGACATGTTGCAGCACTTGAGCCGGTGGTTTAGCGAGGGCGTAAGCCACGGAGGTTGATCTTGTCCCGGCCAGACACACCACATCCTCTCCTTCGACCAAGGACCGACCAACACCACGATGCCGTACGCCGCCGATGATGCTGGCCGGACATTCAAGTGTCCTTTCCCGCGGAGTTATCTGCGACATGGTTCCCAACTTGATGGTACGACAGTCTCGTGAGACACATTGTCCTGCAGCGCGACGTCGAGAACGTGAGTAGCTTGCTTCAATACGATGGCGCTTGGATGCAATCCTGCCTCGAGAATTCGGTCTCGAGGAATCTAGTCCGTCATCAGCTGTCATTGTAGGTTTCCACCCCCGCCATCGCATCGCGGAGCGGCCGTTCTGTCACGGACAGTGTCACGCACGTTTCCTGTCGACCGCAGAAGTGTTCCAAATCCACCCTGGCTCTTTCGTTTTCAGCAAAGTGGTAGCGGCGCAATGTCGCAAAGACCAATGGGAGGAATTCCTTCTACCCTACCCTTGAACACATCTTCGCGAAGTGTTGCGCTCGTGCTCCGTTTTTTTCGCACGCTTAGGGTCCCTGCAGCTATCTTAAGCTCATCTGCCGACAAGCTTTCTCGTATGGTTAGATTGCTAGGAAGGTCCACGCGCGGCAGGGTTCTATGACGGCAGAGGCTAGACCTATGAGACCCTGTAGGCTCAATTTGGAAGACCTCGCGAAAGTCGTTGCGACCGGGTCCTGCTACTGGCTGTGGCGTGGGTGACTGCGGCGTGTTGTCTTTGTTGTTGTTGTTCATGACTGGCTTCACGTCCTTCGATACTGAGCGTATAGCATGGGGAGACGCATACCGTTCACCGCATCACCAACAACGCAAAGGCCCCGAGCGGCACAGTGTAATCTGGACCTACAATCTAGTCTCCCGTCTCCCCAAACCGACCAAGCGTTCTGACTACTCTAGCGTCATCTATTCCCGATACGGTCTTGACAGGGGTAGTACAGCCAGCCTTCCTGAGCCAGGCACAGCCGCTTCCTCCTTCCACGGCGACCAGCACATGTACGCCGCACCCGGCCTTTTGTTTCTTGACTCTAGGCGACGATGAGCAAGGGCGGGGTGGGTGGGGCTTAGGCCTGGAAACAGCGGCCAGTTCACTCCGCCGTCAGTCGTCTGATCAGTCTAGCGTGCACCGTACTGTGTCTGGGAATTAGATATAAGGTGCCGGTTCACATCCCTGGATGTTGATATCACAAGCAAGCAACATTCAAGGTTTACTTTGCTACTACTGCTACGAACTATCCATAACTTATATTGCTTCGCCCCCTGGCTCACTATACTTTTTCGGAATAACTATCTACACGTTCGCGGAATCTATCATAACGGCCCTTTGAACTCGGTGATTGCTAAATACATTGGCCTCATTTCACGGGTCACGCAAAGCTCCTGCCGCCTTACGCTTTGGACCTTACCGGGCATCGCGATAACAAACGGCACAACGCACGAGGGGCTTCCCACGCGCACGGATTCCACAACCGACGGCTTGACTACGCGCTGCTATTAATATATAATACCGCGGCCTTCCCCTTCTCGAGTTCTTGATTACTGGTCAACTACTCAGACAACCACGAAATAATCCCCAGAACTTCACCACTTCTATACATTATCCCTATACAAGATGGTCAAGATCTCCGCTATCGCCCTCGGGCTCCTCACCCTTGCCAGCGAAGTCTGCGCTCAGAAGACAGTCAAGGTCATGCCCTTTGGTGCTTCCATCGTCTCGGTACGTATCCCACCTTCCTCGCTTCAAGTTTCCATCCACTGACTCCCATTCAAGCGATGCTGGCGCGCCAACCTCCAAACCAAGCTTAGGGATGCAGGTGTAACGAACTTTGACTTTGTCGGTGGCCAAAAGAGCACCTGCGGTGGGACCAACATCGACCAGGATCACGAAGGTCACCCCGGATTCCAAGCCGCCGACATCGTCAAGAACAGCCAACTGCCTGGCTGGCTCGACAAGAACCCTCCGGATGTTGTTCTCATGCTCCTCGGCACCAACGATGTTCTCATCGGCAAGAGGCCTATCAACGACATCATCGCCTCGTACGACATCCTTATCGCACAAATGCGGAAGAAGAATCCCAACATGCAGATCGTCGTATCCAACCTACTTCCATTGGACCCCGCGCGCTTCAATGCCCAGGCCGTTCAAGGCATCAAAGACCTCAACGCTTACATGGCTACGCACATGCCTAAGAAGAGCAATGTGAAGAGCCCGGTCTACTTCGTGGACAACTTCGCCGACTTTGACGCAGTCAAGGACACAGATGATGGTGAACACCCCAACTTGCAGACGGGTGTACAGAAGATGGCGAACAAGTTCTTCGACGCCACAAGGACAGCGATCAAGGGAGCTGCTGCGGTCAAGGCGAAGAGGCAGAGCATAGTTGAGAGGAGACTACTAGACTAGAGTGGAGCGATGAGGTAGACTGTTACGAATTCATGACTTTTCATTGTGCTAAACTAAACTTGGGTATCTTAATGCCATTCCTTACTCCAGAAGTCAAGTTTCGAATGTGATATGCCGCCAGACAGATGCCACCAGCTCTAATCGAGCTGTAGTATCTTTCTTCCAAAATCAGGTTCCAACTTTTATACTGTCGCCAGACGGGTACCATGAGCCGAGGAGAGACGGTCGTCCGCAGGTGTCTTGGTGGTGCGGGGAGGTCGTCAGGGCTTTGTGGTCTTGTCTGAGTCGCCCTCCGACTCGTAGGCACCCGCCTGCGAGGTGGCTTTGTCCTTGGCGGCCTTGCGTGCGGCCACGATTCCACGAGACTTCTTGCTCCGGATGAATTTGGCTTCTGCAGCCTCAGCAGCCTCGATGGCCGCGATCTTCTGTTGTACGTTAGTGCCATGGTAGTGTCAGGAGGTGATGAGATACTTACGGCTGCCTCGGCCCTCTTGACCTCGTGCATGGCAATTGCGTCTGCCGCCGCAGAGTCCTTGTCGTTGCAGACGTAGGTAGTTTCGTATCCTGCTCGACCCATTTTTTCTGGCTGGTTGGCGAGGTGGTGGAGTGCTTTGATGACTACTTTGTAGTCT